TCTCTAAATGTAATATTAAAATATTATTTCTAATGTTAGCAGTAGCTAACAAAACCCACATTTGAACCTCTTAGCATAATCACATGGTCAAAATCAACAGTGCATCTTATTTATCAATATGCAGCCTTAAAAAATATATGTATATTTGAGTAAATTATTTCCATTAGTAGCAGGAACATGTCAATATAAAATCCAAATTTGTATTCATTGTCTAAATAAGAAGTAAGTTTTCCAAATGTCAAATGAAATACCACACATCAACTTTCCATGATAATAAAAATATCTGGAAATATGAAAAGTTTTTCAAAAAATAACACCCCATAAATTAAAGGATAAGTGTTACATGTGTTTAAAACTACCAAGCAGCCACAGCCATGACATCCCCTAAAAGAAATAAATGATCATATGTATTTTCAAATAACCTAACTTGAAGTTCTAATGAATAAAACAGTACAGAATATTTTTAGCTTTTTAACATCAAGTCTAAAAATGAACTTCAGAAAGGTGTTTTACTGGTTGTTATCTATTAAAATCAATGTTGGTAGTTCTAAAAGTAAAATTTTAATATCAAATCTTAGCAAAATAACCTCTTAAAAAATTAACACTATGAGCTAACAGAAATGTTTCCCATTCTTCCTCTTCTTGAAAAATATAAAACTCAAGGAAGAGGTCCTTCCCACCTCTATCTAACCCCTGAAATTTTTTGTTTGTTTTTTTTTTTTCATTTTTTGAGACAGAGTCTTGCTCTTGTCGCCAGGCTAGAGTGCAGTGGCAACATCATAGCTCACTGCAACCTCAAACTTCTAGCTCAAATGATCCTCCTGCCTCAGCCTCCTGAGTAGGTGGGACTACAGGCTCTGTGTCAGAACACTCAGCTAATTTCCCTATTTTTAGTAGAGACCAGGTCTCACTCTCGCTCAGGCTGGCCTCGAACTCCTGAACTCAAGTGATCCTCGCTCCTCAGTCTCCCAGAGTGCTAGGATTACAGGCGTGAGCCACTGGGCCCAGCCTAATCCCTGAATTTTTTACAAACATTCTTCCCATTTCAACTGTTGGAAATCAATACCATAAACACATTAAGAAGCAGCTCTATGAAATGTCTATCCATCCAACCTGTCCATCTGTACAACTGACTATTTCCTACTATACCCAAAAAGTAAAACGGCAAAAAGAACATTGACATGTGAAAAAATGATGACCCATTATCCCAGCACAAAGTCTACTATACACTGAGTTATAACAGTCTTAGCTTTGCACCAAACATCTATGAAAGCCTCTATTCATTTCACTATTCAACAGTTCAGGAGATTAAGGAAAGACAAAGATACTTACCTCTATTTCCCAAACTCCTCCCAGAGGCAAATCCACTTCTCATGAAATGATCTCTTCTCGAAGGTCCATCATCCATTTCTAAAGCCAATAACATTTTGAAGCAAGTCAAACAAAAACATGTATCTAAGTAGTTGTAGACTTTAGACTTTTTCAATGTGCCACACGTGGCAAAGAAGGAATTTTATATAGCAGTAAGTAAGAAGACAAAGTGCCTGGTAGAAAAATGGGCTATGCAAGAATTCAAGGTTGCAGTGAGCTATGATTGTGCCACTGCACTCCAGCCTGGGTGACAGAGCCAGACCCTGTCTATGAAAAATAAATAAATAAATGAAAGTGGACTATGAATATGAATAGGTAGTTCTCAAAAAAAAAAAGTAAACGGTGACTAAATCTTGCTAATAATTAAAGAATTGGAAATCAAAGGAGACAGCAATTTTCAACCACATGATTGAATAGAAAAGTTAGGTTTGCTAATACCCAGAAAAGTCAACGGACAAAGGGAAACAAGCACATACCACACACTGTATTTAGACTATAATCTAGATCAATCTTTATCCTGATTAATCCTAACTGATCCCAATAGGCATATACCTTTCTAAAGTACACTAATATGAATTTCTCCTCTGGATATACACAAACAGTTACACAGACACACAAAGATGTTTTTGTAAGCACTTTCTGTAATAGCAAAAAACTGATTAAAGGAGAAAAAAGAAATCGTGGTCATCCACAGAATGCTATGCACTTGAATTTCATTGAAATACATAGCATTCAATGTGAGAGAATTGACATTCTTCAACAGACAGAATGTTTATTAAAAACCTGGCCCTGTAGAAAGCCACAGTGTAAATTCGACAATAGATTTCAAAGTCAATATCCTATATACAAAATTCTCTAATCATGATGCAATCAAATTAAAAGTCATTAAATACAAAAAACTTGTTTAAAATCCCCCTACATTTGGGAACATATTTTTAAAAACACTTCTATATAACCCACAACTCAAAAAAAAAAAAAAATAAACCCACAATGGAAGTTTAAAATTACTTAGAATCATATGATAAACATGTTGCTTGTTATTGAAATATTTATACTAGAAAATAAATACTTGATTAATAAGCTTAACAGCCATCTCAATGAATAAGAACATTAGAAGAGTTAATCACACAAAAGTAAATGAGGAAGTAAAGGTAAGAGCCAAAATTACTAAAACAGGAAACAAACATATAATACAGTGGCTCATAAACCCAAAGCCTGGTTCTTTAAAAAGATCAATAAAACTTGCCAGAGTGATGAATTACTGAAGACTAATAATGGGGGAAAGAGGGCAACAGATAGAAAAGGCACAAATGAACAGTATTAGAGTTGTTTTTTTTTAAAAAAAAGAATCTCTAAGATAGAAGACAAAAAAAAGAAAGAATTTATCCAAACAACTTTGTTACTAAATTCAAAATCTTAAAAGAAATGAAAAAATTCCTAGAAAATTAATTCTCCAGAACTGATTCAAGAAACAATAAAAACAAAGCCAACTGTCCTATGGAAATTAAATCAGTACTTAAATCTCTGAATCAAGCAGATGCACAGATAGGGTTTTACGAGTGAGTTCTAACAAACTCTCAAAGACCAAATCATTCAGATGTCATGTAATTATTCCAAGAAATAGGAAGAGGAATTATTCACCAACTCAT